ACCAATATGCAACTAAATATGTTAATTTTTAATCGGTTTTAACTACATTGGTGGTAAATGTTTATGGAATAAGCTGTCTAGGAAGTAGAAATACCAAACTGTTTTTGTGTTTAAGGAGGAATGTTTTTTTTCTTTTAGCCTCCATGTTAAAATGTTTAATGTTTTTTATCTGCATAAAGCACTGCTTTACTTCATGACATTCTTTTTAAATTAAACAAAAGAAATCATGTTTACTTTAAATTGTATATTATGTATCCAGTTCATTTTTTTAATCAGTAATGCAATCAAAACGATCATTCAAAAGTCTTGTGGTGAAATAGATTTAAGGCAGTATTTCAATAAGCAGCAGCTGATGGAGACTAGTTGGTGAGTCAAACTTGATTCAATATTAAAAGAAAATAACTTGCACTCTAACTAAATTCTGCGTTTTTGCAACCAACTGACCAACAAGTTGGTTTAGTGATGCCAATGACAAAAATACTGATAAAAAACAATCCTAATCACTTTTCAAAGCAATACAATAAAGAAAATTTTGACCTTTTGCTCAGAAAGTAATTAAACCACCAATAATTGAAGAACAGAAAAGTGATGGATTAGCTATCTGTACAACAGCTGGTACTTCTCTCTTTGTGATGATGTGTAGAGTAAGCTGTAGCAACAAAGGGAAGAAAATCTAAACCAATTTACTAAAGGCAGCAATGCTTTCCAATCAACTTACATGAATGTCGGATCTATTATTTGACCAGCTACAAGATTTATGAGCTTTCTAACTGGTTGTAGCAGTAAATTGTGTACAGACAAGACTGATTGATGATTTTTTTAATGTCCAGTATCAGCCACATTAAATCAGTCTCTCTCTCTCCCTACTTATATGAAATATGTGCTGACTTAACTAACTCTGGTCATCTTTTAACATAAGCAAAACTCTTAAGGATTTGAAAGAACAATCTGAAATTAAAATATGCTGAGATAATAAAACAGCAAAAACAACTGCGTTCATTTTTAAAATACCCAAACTACTTATGGCTTTCAGTTTGTTGATATTAGACCTTTGTCATTGTACAGAGCACAACGAAATTACAGTATATGTAATATAAACAATGTTTAATCAGTTGGATAAAAATTATACATGGTAAAAAAAGCAGAAAATATACACTTTAGACACAGTTTGTAATGAAACTGAAAATCTTTGAATGTGTGTGTATTAGGGGTGGGAATTTTTTTACTTTCTCACGGTTCGATTCTGATTTTTGGGGCCACGATTCAATTCAAAATCGATTTTTTAATTCAAACCTGATAATGTGAGCCCATTTGTCGTGTTCCCAAAGTGCTTCATCTTCATTGTGCAAACCTCACACATAGTGAGGATCATGTCAAACTCGGACTCATTCAGTAAAAACCAAAATGAGCCCAAATCTTTGCGTTCAATAAGGATGGGGCCAGTTAAATCTCTCTTTCCTCCAGTTTTGTAGTTTCCTCTTTGTTTTGGTGCTCTCTACGCATGCATACATTCCAGAACCGGGTGACGTCAGGACATCTCACGTAGTTACAAAATAAAGACTGACAGCCATTGGATTTACTTTATTTTTTTATTTAAAAAAATCGATTTTGGGACATTTTAAATCAGTTCTATATCTTTGTAAATGAGAATCATGATTCTGATGTGAATCGATTTTTTGGTGCACCCCTAGTGTGTATATGTGTACCTATGCAGTACATGAAATGGTATGGCTAACTCCAAAATTGAAGAGGTTATAAAAAATTTACTTAAGAGTGAAAATATGGTTTATTTTTATCTAAATTGTATTCATTCGGCAAATATCCCATGCCTTGATTGTCTGATTTGCAAAAAATGTGACATTAAAATTTGAGTGATACTCATCTGTGAAGTAAAATTATGTTGAAAACCAATAAACACAGTTGACCTAAAATAAAACATGGAGTTAACTCCCTACTTCAATCCCTGTTTTAACCCTAAAATATCCTGCTTTATAAAAGTTTGTTTTGATAGGAGTGAAAAGGCAGCCGCTGTGAATAATTCAAGGGATATTTGATCATCATGCCACAGACATTTCTGTAACACCTCAGGAAGGAAACTGTCTACTTCTTAAAAAGAAGTTGACAAATATTTGTTACTATGAATTTTGTAAAATATCAATGTCTACTTCGGCTTAACACTGCCTGCTGTGATTATATCTTATTGAAGACAAACACTACATTCGGGGTGCACCGATTAGTTGAAATAATCGATAACGTCGATTATGTAAATTTGTCGACGCAGATTTTTTATCGATTCGCTGTATTACATAACCACCAGGTGAATGTTCATGCAATTCCATTTTGGTACCTAAATGCACCATTGCAACTGTATTGGCATAAGAGTGGTGAGTTTTCCATGCTTGTTCTGAACGCAGCATCACGCAAGAGCGTAATGACGTCAGCAGCCGCTGCGTCTGACGCTTGAAAGCACTGAACAGACCGCCTCTGAATTATCTGGTGGATTAATTATCTTGTGAACATGACGTTCGCTAGCTCAAAGTAAATAAAGTACCGCCACTTTCTTTATTTCATCCATCATTAAACAGAGACCGGTGTTAGGTCGAGCCACGTTCCCCCATCAGACGGTTCCCCCATCAGACGGTTCCCCCATCAGACGGTTCCCCCATCAGACGGTTCCCCCATCAGACGGTTCCCCCATCAGACGGTTCCCCCAGCGTCTCAAACAACAGAGGAGCTTCACGACACACGTCTGACCTAAAGACCACAAGCAGCCAACAAGTATTGGATGTGTTTTGGATGTTCAAAACTTAGCTTAAATACCTTTTATTTATTTTAACTGCATCCTCTTTTGTTTATTTGATTTAAATATATTTGCCTTCCATGGACCTCCATCACACATTTTTCTAGTGGGGAAATGACATCAATAGAAACACGTGGAGCTGGAT